GAAAACCCTTTTTCAAACCTTTCGTCTTCAGGAAACATGATTGCACTACGGAGACAAGTCTACTTCTTTCGGCAGACCTTTTTCGGCGGATCTGTCGTGAGGCGGTCCGAGCAGGGATCAGAAGTATGCCATGACTTGCTTTCTCTATGATGCCAACTTTTTCACTGCACTCAATTCAGGTCGACACCGTCTCCATCTGAACCGGCCCGTTCTTTCGCTAGGCTCTTCGATATACTCATGTAGCTGTGTAACCCATCTGCGGGTTCCCCGGTCTACAGGCACAAGGAGATATTGAGGACTACAGGAAGGGGAGGGTCAGCTTAGACCGGCAACACAACGTATGGAAGAAGAAGGAAAATTCTGTTGTCCAACGACCACCGAAGGAAATCGATATAGGACGTCTGGACGTGTATGGAAAAACGTGTATGGCTGCAGCCTGCATGAACAGCGGGCCCTGTGACTGAGTGGGATAACGCTATCAAGAAGAAGAGGAAGAAAATGACGGACTGACGGGACCATCAAACGGATTAGCCGCCAGGAATCCTGGTGAGTAAACTTTCTGTCAGAAAACTTTTTTCAACTTTCGTTGGTGTCAGAAACTTGCGTGTATTGGACTCGACTTGATAGTTTTAATTAAAGAACTTGGAAAGAAGTTTCTTGCGGGGAAAAAGTTTTGTGAGAGCTGAAATTCGTGAATAATTTCGAAAATGTGATTGCGCTTGACAGCCAATTGTTCGCTTGGAATATCGTAGGATTTTCCTTGTTTTTTTGGCAATGCAAAACTGCAGTGTCGAGAGGGAGTCGCTCCTTAGGCCTGCATTGAACTTAATGGGAAAGGAAGTCAAATTGAAAACGTCAGAACGGAGTGCTCAAAATACTAGGAATAAGGGGCTGTGCACGTGTATGCAAGCGATTCACTACCTGGAAAAGAAGAGGATGGAGGAATTCTGAAGATTGAGTTGTTCATGAGTGACGAACTTGGTTCAGGTCGCCGTCCCGACTGCTCAGCGATATGCAGTCGCCTATCCTTCCAAGAGCGATCCGATCGGGGATCGAGGGTATGCTTATTCACTAAATGGCTCTGTTTACCTCCTTTGCTTACGGCAACAGATTCAGATAGGCCATGTCGTCCGCAATAGAACCCCTTGTGAACAATTGTGGCAGCCATCTTGACACCTTCCGATATTCATTTAAACCACGACTTCTGCGAACCTCAAGGGAGCAGTAGAGGAAACGATCGCCCAGAACCAGGGTCAGATACTCGCTACCACCATTGTTTGATCCTAATGGCTGACCCCAATGATAGATTTTTAGTTTTCAGTATGATGCAAGTATTTTGAGAGGACCATCACTGCAAATTCTTCACGCCACCCGGAAAGCAGCACTTCGGCAAGGGGATCTGGTCCTGGGCGATTGTTTGGCGGCGGGGTAATCCCCCTTGTCAGCGGTTCGGCCCAAGGAAACTGTAAGCTTTTTCGATTTGCTCTTTTACATAAACTCTGCAAGCCGTTCGCCCACACTTTTCAGGTGAGGCTCTCATCATAAGAAGAGTATCCAGAACGGACGACACCTTCGAAGGATTTTGATAGTTTTTGTTGTAGTGTTGGGGTGACGGGTAGGAATGGGCACTTTACTAGGACTTTTAGGCTTTTTTAGGTTATCCTTTTCTAGTTTTTTGTTTTGTTTTGTTTTGTTTTATTAGGACTTTTAGGCTTTTTTAGATTATCCTTTTCTAGTTTTTAGTTTCTTTTTTACGTGTTTTTTTGGCTTAGGTTTTTTAGTTTGTGTAGCGTCTAACTGCGCTTCAAACTCTTCAGAGCTGCCTAGGTAATTAGCTATATCAACTATTCCTGGATATTGTTCAACAATCCAGGTTTGGCGACGCAAAGTTACTGCTCTTATAATTCCAAGATCGCACAAAAAAAATACAAACCTGCATTTCGGCAAATAAAAAAACAAACATTTCGGCAAATGTCAACTCATTCAAAAATTTTATAGCTGTTCTCATTCATGGGCAAATAATCATGGGTAACCTGAATCAAAAGAGTTAGTTGTTCTTCCTCCATACCGAGTCTTTTGGCTTGATTTTTTTCTAGGGAAGGATAGCATTTCTCCTCGATTTCTCGGGATTACCTATATTTCATTAACTATTTTCATTCCACCTGTTCTTGCTGAAGGTGTGGAACTTTCGTCAACAAAAAAGTCAACCAAAAACAGTTACTGCAAATTATAACAAAATTGATGGGGTTCTGCGTTGTTGAAAATCTGGATTGGAGAATAATGGCCAAGGAATGCGCGCAATTTTCTGGGGTGGGTTGAGTATTGCATTTAACATAAGTTTAGTTTGATAAGCGCCCATTCCTATCAGTCATCCATCCCACCCTAAGTTTTTCACCATAAGGCAGAAGGTCGTGTACCTTCTGAAGAGTTCGGCCCTTCCATATTGATTCCCTGCGCTTTGTTTCCTGCCGATGGACTCGACTTATCGAGGTCCATGGGCCGGTGTGTCTTGGCGTGCAAGAGGTTTTCTTCTTGGGCGACTCTTTTTCGGTGTGTCGAGAGGCTCAACAGCAGCGGTGCTCGCGAAAGTTGTGTCTCTGAGGCTATCGCTTCGGGATGGTACACCTCATGAGGCCTGGAGGTGCAATCGGCACCATGGAAGATCGCAGTCGTCTTTACGTCATTTGGAGCGATCGATTCCTGTATTGGTCAGCTGTCGCAGGAGCAGCAAGTGTTACGGGAGCGCAATTTCGATTTTCCGGTCTGCAAACGGANGCTAGTTTCTTCGACGAGCAGCGAGCCCTTCATATGGACGGCGAAAGTAAGGAGTTGGATCTCGAACGGTACACGCCTGTGGAAGTTTGAGAGGCTCGACTGTGAAGCAGAACCTATGGATTCGAAGACTGTCGTCTTATGTTCAGAAATTTCCTTGATTTCAAAACAGTTTTTTTTCTGGAATTATTGTTCATCAATCTTGGGCAACTTTGTAAAAAGTGAGAGAAACGTTTTGGCTGAACTTAGGGATTGTAAGGTGCTACAGTTTTCTTGAAGTTTCGAAAGTTTTTTTTTTGAAGTCACAAGAGAAGCACCGAGATTTGGCGTATCTTGCTTCGAAATCGTTTTAGCTTTCTTAAGAAAACCTTTTTCCTATTCGGGTTTATTGTTGCTTTCTGGTAAGCATATAACCAAATTTGTCATCCACAGGAGGAGTCAAGCCATTCCCTCGTAATTCCCTTTATTTACTCCAGTAGAAGTAATATAGGAGGCCAGATTTTTACGGGGGGTTACTTGTCCTCTATTTCTGAAGAAAAGCTATTCGGTGGAGTGGCCCCTTCTACGTTTCTTTGCGTCAGATTTGCTTTTGCGATATCATAAAAGTGGGAAACAGTGAGATGCCTAGGCTTATTCCAGAAAATAAATACAAAGTAGTGATGGGAGGTTATTGACTCTAGACTTTTGCTGAAATAGTGATTTGGCTACCTTAGCTCCTCGGCTCCCCTAGCAGTGGACCAGCTAGTAATTTCCTCGGCGTGTTACTCTTTGATGCGTCCACCTCTGTGGCTAACATTTAGATGTTTGTGGCCCAGCGGACTCAAGCTCAACTGTTTTCAGGGTTGCTTAGGTTTGCCCTGAAACAAAAAAAAAGAATTGAAACCCAGGTCTCATGTCAGATAATCCCTCGTATAGATACTCTGTACAAATTGAAGCTAGTTTCCTCCATTTCGTCAAAGCTTTTCGAGAAGTTAACAGTTTTGCCTAGCTGTTTTTTCAAAGGGCACTGCGGTGAACAGTGGGAGAGGAAATCCGTAGATACAAGAGGGAACTGCCTAAGGTTACTCTAAGAAGGGTGGGGTTGCGGTGAACAGTGGGAGAGGGGATACGTAGGTACATGAGGGAACTGCGTAAGGTCGCTCTGAGAAGGGTGGGGTCTCATGTTCCATACTTTATTCCTATTACTCCATTACTGAATCCTCCATCGGTTGATAACTGACTTCTGCTGTTCCTGTAGTTGTTCAAATGCAACTTTCAAGCCATTCTGTGACACTACTTCTGGATATGGTGATGTGGGCTGGCTTAGCTTTGGAAACGTTTGGGGATGGGTCGCAATTCATATCCTCCCTCCCCCCTCCTAATAGCAGTAGTCAACCTTGCGCGTTTTGTAGAATAGAAACGATATCGGCCGATGTTTTTTTATAACTGGGCCTGTCTGGGTGAGGAAGGATCAA